AATAACAATCTCATGTTTGCAGCATGCAGATTTCATTTTAAAGCTCCATATCTGGCAAAAGAAATAGATAATCGCCTGATATCAGTTAACATAAGAAATCGCTTCCAAAGATATGCAATGTAAATCATGACACGGCAATGCACAGTCATCAACCCCCCGGGGTGCGTCTACCTCTACGAGAGACCGTCGACCCCCCGGGGGAGCTCTACCTCTATGCGAGACAGCGACCGGCATGGAATTACTTATAAGGTCATCTCAACACTTAGCCTCAAAATCTCTGATGAATTAATAAAGTTACATGACGGTTACCACGAACACAACCTCCGTGGGGTATTTAAAACCCTCCACTCAGAACGTGGGGATAATGGGAAGGCCAACATGGGACACGTGGCACCACAGCCACCCGGCTCTCACTCGGCTTCTGACGTCTATAAATTCCACCTAAAAGCGATACAAGTATGGAGGATTGCATATTTTTTAGCTACCTGAACTCCGAATTTATTTTCTCCTCACACACCTATTGATTCTCACACCGGATGTAAAACGGGGGAGAAGCGCCGCCCTCACTTTTCAGGTTGCACATATCCGTCGGAGTAGCAGAAACACTAAAAGTCGCAGATAGATTCAGGAGGCATTACTCCACCACCATTTCATCGCCATTAGCAATCCTAATTAGCAAGAAGTAAATAAGCATTCATTATCAACAATAGCGTACCTTTGTGGAGTAATAATTTCCAACTTGTTTTTTATCTGCATTGAATTGGACACCATTTGCAATCATGGACTCACATCCACCACACCAAATATTAAATGGCATCTCAAATCTGGAAAATGGAGATTACATGCAAAAATCAGTCATTTTTCTTCTTGTCAGCTTCTACTATTCCTATAATGATGGAATCAAAGGAATTTCCATAGGTTTTTATGGATCATTTGATCATCCAATTTCGTTCATAGTTGAATGAAAATTTTGGTTTCATCTCATTACAATTTTATTTTTATGAATTTTTGGTAAAACACTAAAATCATGAGACAGATTTTCTCTGTTATATAATCTCATTGTGTTCTGATGCATTACAAAAGCACGAGAGGAATCCCAAACACCTGCAGCTCAGTAAAACTCTCTAGAAAATTATAAGAAGAAGATGTGTCGATGGAGTATTACATTAATTACAAAACCAAGCTGATTTTTTTCTTCTTTAAGGACACAAAGAACCTCCATCACAGTTGGGAAGTATCTACTATCCAAAAAGCATCATTCGCACTGTTTTTGTGAAGAAAATGTACTGTCCTACCAGCTTAGTACTTGATCAGACAGACTCATCCTAATGAATTAAGTATTTTCAAAGTTCTGAAAACTGCAACAAAACGCGATTTGCTCTCACAAAGAAATGGACATCTGAAACACTCAGTAACAAGTACATTATGAATAAAAGCATTGGACCAGTGTCTCTAAACATCTTTTTGAGAATGGTCATAGGTTTACGCTTTTAAAAGATATCAAGAACTTCGACAGGTTAGAACACAATGCTCTTGCTTAAAATGATTGAGTGCTTCAAGCAACCACAATAAGTGTTTAGGATGTGATTATGAAAGTCAATTCAAAGAATCTAATGAATAGCCCCTAACCTAGTAGTATCAATTAATTAATTAATCAATCAATCTTCATTAAGAAGATAAACATCTTTGCAGTTGCTTGCTTGGCCCCCACGGAAGGCCAAAATTTGGTTAAACTATTACCATTATCAATGAACTATTTTATAATTTTCCTAATCGTGGAGACTCAAAACAATAAAATTCAGTACTGTTAGAGTAATTCTACCTTGAGCACTTTGCCCATTCAGTGACAAGATTTTCAAAGGTTTTCTCAAAGAAGCAGACATCCCAAGGAGAAAATGTTAAACAGCTTTAGGACTACTAATAATTCATACATGGATAAGTAATTGAGACTTAAATGATGATTATAGTACTTAATTAGAACTTATATAGTCGTGTATATCAAATTTATACAACACCAATCAGTGTAGGGAGATTAAAGGTTTTAGCTCAACATTTCTTTCAATCCAAACATTTACACAGTCACAGAATTTTCTTAGCCTCTTTCAATTATTCAGAATTATACACTCACATTGCCTTGTCCTACAGAGGAAAGATGAATAAAAAACCTGACTGCAGGCTTCTGTATAATACAAAATTCTCACATATGTGATATGGTGCTAGGGGAAACATTCTTATTTCCTAGGCCACCCAAACACTACCTCCTTGGTATTTTCACCATGATACCAAAATTTTGAACAGTTTAACACAGTTATGCAGCAATGATACTGTTTAGAAACGAATTACAACGCTAATGATCAAACACTCTTAGTTCAGTACCTTATAATCAAGATGCCTTGATCTATTTTTCTTGCTCTCTCCCTCAATGCATGTTGTCCATGGAATTTGTTCAACCCACCCTGCAAAAAAAAAAAAAAAAAATAAAAATAATAAAAATAATAATAAAATTACATCTTATCACTATGAATACAAGAATTGCAGAAAATAGTCAAATAATTAATAATTAGAGCTCACTTACATGACTATAGTTAAAAATAAAGATATTTTACAGAAATTACATATCTATACATATAAGAACCTGCAATGAAAAAATAAAGATTATTTTCAATATATTCAATAAAGAAAAGTTTCCTGCTTCGTGCTAACTTAATCAGATTACATCAATGACCGATATACAAATCAATTTAAACATTTAATGAAATACCCAAAATAGATATCTTTTTCTCTATTACATAAAAATAATAAAAATAAAAATGATAGAAACAACGAACCCCTTTCAGTACAGAAACGAACAACGAATTAAAATTGATCTCACGTAACCCTACCAATTTGTACATTATACTGTAAATTTCTAAAGATCCCCATGGATTAACAAATTATTCAATCCAATCAAATACATCAATTATGTTTTCAGATCGTGAAAAAAAAAAAAATAAACATGTCGAAACATCTGAATGAAAGCCAACATGTCGGAATAACAACCCCAAACCCTAAATATAAATTGAGCAATTAAAAGGATATACAAATGAATAAAATAGTTTACGCACCATTTTGTGATTCCTTTATTCCTTGCGATTAAAATTGATGACTCTTTCGAGATTTGGAGCTATGGATTCCAAGTGGGGGTATTTTAAGGATAGCTTTGTCAAACCAACCATTTTCCATTTTAACCATAAAAATCTAACATTCAACACAATAGCCATTTCTTGTATAAAAAACAAAAATGCACTTAAATGAGTTATATAATTACAAAAATAGAAATATGGTAAAAAGATAAAAATATCCTTAAATTACAAATAAAAATCCAAACAAGGCTCAATTGAAATTTGAAAACGAAGTCAGTCTTTTCATCAGTTTACTCTAACACGATAAAAACTCTTCCATTTTTCATCCACTTCAACCTCAAAATTTCATAAACTTATCAGTTATCAACCTCAACAGAAAAATTTAGTTAAATTTCAGCACTTCAATTCGGTAAGTATCTTTTCGTAGTATTTAATTTTATTTTTATTGAAGTCGTATATTTTTTTAAATGGTAGAAAAAATAATATTAGAGCCAAAGTTCAGGTCGGCACCGATCAGACGTCGGAACGCCGGATTTAATGACGGTCCGGACCATCCGGACAGTCCGCAACGGACGGTCCGGATGGTCCGGACCGCCCGTTACCGACGGTCCGGATCGTCCCGACCGTCCGTTTGCAGACTCCCCCGTCCCTCGATTCTGATAATTTTTTTTCTGATAATTTATTCTGATATTTTTAATTCGTAATGCAGATATGGCAAAAGCGTGTGTCCCAATTTGTTATTTCGGCGAATTTCAAAAGACAGAAAATGGTCAATGGGAATGAAAATGGACGAGTGAAGGAGAAGGGGTTGCTACTATTTCGATAACAAAAAATACTTCGTTTACAGAAATGTACAGTGAAATACAAAACATGCTTAATGTCGATTCCTCTCAGTACGATATGGAATTGGGATTTTTATTTCAAAAGCATTCAACAATTTCGATTCCACCTTTGAAAGTTACTTCTGAAGCGCAAATAAAGTATCTAATTCAATTGAACAAAGGTCGAAAGACGACTCCTATTTGCGTAAGTTTGTTGAAGAAAAATATTATCGAGGGTGAACACGAAGTTTTTGATGGAGAGGATCGTAATGAGAATGATTTTTTGAATACTGTTGAGATTGCTCGGGAGGATGATGTGGTTATTCCTGGGACAGTTGCTACTCACCATGATGTCACCGTTACACGAAGGATTTACGAGGAAGTTCAAGACAACGAGGATGAAAGGCCATTTACAAATCAGGATTTGATTGCTTTATCCAGACAGAGACATGAGTCTGGTGGGAGCTCATATGCTGGGCCGAGTACACAGTCTTCTAATTGTTCGCGTGTAGTTCCTGATGATGAAGATTTACATATCGATCAATTGTTTGACACGAAAAGAGATTTGCAAGAAGCCGCGCACCGAATTGCAATAAAACATAATTTTGAGTTTAAGGTAAAAAAATCAAATAAGTCTACATACACAATTATTTGTGTGGACAACAATTGCAGTTGGCGTTTGAGTGCGACACAGATGGATACAAATGAGTTCTTTGTTGTTCGTAAGTATGCGCGGGAACATACTTGTGAAGTGGGTATTCGTCAAAATGATCACAGGCAAACTCGATCATGGTTTATTGGTCGACAGATAATGCACAAGTTTCAGGATCCACGGACGATTTACAGACCTACAGATATCATCAACGGTATTTTTTTTATGGCTCTTGGATAATGCATTAGAGATTTTCGAAATGCTATGCGACCTCTAATTCTAGTTGATGGTACAACCCTAAGAGCTAGATATGAAGGAAAGTTGATTATTGCTACTTGTCAAGATGCCAATATCCAAATTTACCCTCTTGCATTTGGCATTGTCGATGGAGAGAATGATCTAGCAATGCGTTGGTTCTTCACGAAGTTGAGAGAAGTAATTGGGAACATCGAGAACCTTGCATTTGTGACTGACCGGGGGCAGTCAATAATAAATGGTATAGCCGAAGTTTTTCCAGAAGCACATCATGGTTATTGCATGTACCACATTCAAGGCAATCTGAAGACTAGGTACCGGGGCAGTGGCATCGTTGCATTGTTTAGGAGAGCTGCAGAAGCTTATAGCTTTGAAGAGTTTACAAAGTTCATGGGTGAAATAGAACATAAATCAGAAGGTGCATGGGAATATCTATTAGAAATGGGGGTCGAACATTGGGCACGGTCACATTTTCCAGGACGTCGATACAACATGATGACGTCGAATAATGCAGAGTCGCTGAATGTATTATTCAAGAAGGATCGAGAGTTACCGATTCTCGCAATGATTGAACATATTTGCAGCAAGTTGCAACAGTGATTTTATGACCGACGTGAAGAATCCCAAAATTGCACAAGTGTGCTAGCTCCGGCACAGGAAGATCGACTATTCAAAACTCTGGAAGTGGCAAAAGATCTATTTGTGGAACCACTAGATCAATTTCGCTTCTCCGTGAGATGCGGGCGCAATGTTGGATACATTGTAGACTTGAATGACAATACCTGCACGTGCAGAAAATTTCAGTTGGAAAGTTTTCCATGTGCACATGCTGTCGCAGTGGCTATGTATAGAGGATTTCCACCACACAGCTTGTGCAGTCATTATTATATGACTGATTTTTGGAGAGCAGCGTATGCCGAAACTATATTTCCTCTACCAAATGAAGTCGAATGGGAAGTTCCTGATTATATTGTAGCACTTAATAATCTGTCGTCACCTGAAGCTCCACCGCGTACTCCTGGTCGTAGACGGACATCTAGAATACCATCTACAGGAGAGTTTCCACAACCGCGTACGTGCGGGAGGTGCGGCGCTACAGGACATACACGTCGATTTTGTACAAGCCAGATCCCACTAAACAATGACTCGACGGATGTGTAGTATCTATATAAATCATATGTATTCTCTATTTGTCATGTGTTTGTGATTTTCTGAATTGAAATCGAATGTAATCTTTATCACATTGTTTAATTACTCTTTTTATTTTTATCACATTTGTCATATGTATTTTCTATGTGTCATGTATTTGTTTGTTTTCTTTTAAAATAAGTGAGACAACGATATATATTAACTAACAATAGGGAGAGATTACTATTTCTTTAATTAATTATCTTAATTGGTGAAGTAAAAAAAATATTTCTTTAATCATGTGTTTTATTTATTTCATATTTGAATAATATTTATTCGATTTTTCCTTTTACTATTTCTTTACGTAATTATCTTAATTGTTTAAGTAAAAAAAATATTTTTTTTTAATTTATTCGTTAAATATTTCGTTAATTAGGTATATTATTTATTTCATATTTAATTACTCTATTTCGATTATTTATTTGAATAAAAATAATAATATTTATTCGATTTTTCGTTTTACTATTTCTTTAATTAATTATCTTAATTGTTTAAGTAAAAAAAAATATTATTTTTTAATTTATTCGTTAAATATTTCGTTAATTATTTATATTATTTATTTCATATTTGAATAATATTTATTCGATTTTTCCTTTTACTATTTTTTTAAGTAATTATCTTAATTGTGTAAGTAAAAAAAATATTATTCAATTTAATTTATTCGTTACATATTTCGTTAATTATGTATCTTATTTATTTCATATTTAATTACTCTATTCCGATTGTTTATTTGAATAATATTTATTCGATTTTTTCTTTTACTATTTTCCAATTGCATCCGATTTAGTCCATTTAATTCCCGATTATCATTTAAATTTTCAAAATAATATCATATAATATACTCTATTTCGATTATTAATTTCTTTCAGTACAACACGAATCCTACTGAAATAAACAACATTTACATTTTAATAAAATAATTTACAATGTACTAAGGATCACAGTTATATTCATACAAGTCGCAAGCTAATTTATGCCTCCATATATCAATCCAAGACTGGTTTATTGTATCAGCATTGCGACCAATGCTCAAGAACTCTATGTTCTTGATTGCAAATATGCCACAGTCACCCCTGTAACCAGAGTAGAAGATATTAGTTCCATAACATATAATTGAAAATTAAATCTGAAAATTTAAAAGTTGTAAATCCTTACGATCTTTCTTGTCTCGCAGTCGTCGTGTTCCACACAATGGCTAATCTATCATTTACTCGAATCATCGCATGACTAGCCATCATGGGCACGATCATAGCCAATGGCTCCAGTATTTGCTCCAATTGACTTTGTGTCAGACAGCTATGATCAGAGTCGTACACATATATGGTGGAATCAGCAAATACGATCTCCACCGAAAAACAGTGTGAGTTCGCGATCACTGGAATGTACATATGTGTACAATCCGTCCACGGCTTTCCACACCTCAACTGTAGTCCAATCACCCACTCCAGCATGTACTCAGACAAAACATAATCATTCCCCTTGCTTAGGAGCTCCTGATGCTCAATATCTACGACACGAACGAACTCAGCGCTCAAGATAACTCGAGTAGGACTGTCATAAGATCTCGAGTATCTCCGCGCCCGATCGCGTAACAATTCCATAGCCAAGTCGATATGCTGAAACAAAAAAACACCAACAAAAAAGATAGAGTCATTTAAGTAAATGAACCAACAACTTGTATAAATATAATAAACAGAAACTCAAAAAACTTACATCATCAGCGAGCCAAGCTGAGGTCGTCAGTACATCTTCAAACCACTTTTTAGCATTGGGCACGGTCATACAGCCGATGGTATAACTATCTCTGAAAAATGAAAAAACAGTTACCAAAGATACAAAAAAATAGTAGCAACATCATAAAATACTTACTCGGACTTAAGGGATTTGAACCAATCATCGAACGCCTTCTGTCTGACTGGGTCGACGTCGCGAAAAAGATTGGGGTACGCCCCATCCACAAATCCCCTTCTCTTCGCCTCGACCGTGTAGGGAGAAACGACGTACTGTGACGGCAATCTTGATCTCTTACCGACCATCAGTTCTGGCGCGTCAGCAGCACGCTTCTTACCCTTTGGGACCTCCGTCGCCCCCTCGGACACGAATACTACCTCGTCATCCGTCATCTCCGGCGTCCTCTCATCCTCCGCAACCTGATCATCTCCCTTTACTACCACCTCTGATGTCCCCTCCGCTACCTCCTCGACCACCCCTGTCCCTCCCTCCACCCCCTCTATCTCTGCCTCCTCCGGCACCTCCGGCCCGACCTCCACCCCGAGCATCCCGGCCTCCTCTGGCTCCTCCTGCCCGACCTCCACCCCCTCCCTCTCGGCCTCCGGCACCGAACCAAAAAACTCATCGATTCCCCCGGCTGTTGCCCACCAATCTCGAGGGACACCAGTCTCCCCGACATTCCCTCGGACGCCTGCTACATCGCTTCGAAGTGCTGCAACCTCAATACGAAGGTCTCCTATATCTCGTCGCAGCACTCCAATCTCATCTCGCAAAGCTACTACATCTGTCGTAAAATCTCGTCGCAGCACCCCTATCTCCTTTCGTACTGCGACGATCTCTGTCGTAAAATCCCGTCGCAATACCCCTATCTCCTCTCGTAATGCGACTACCTCTGTCATAAATCATGTCGCATCGTTCCCAACTCCTCTCTAATAATGCCAGTCATGCGTGCAAAGAAATCATCTGAATGACGGGTCTGACTGGGTGTAGGCGATCCATGTGGGAGGTGGGTGGGTACGGGAGACGGAGATATCCTCGGAGAATGAGATAATGGCGGTAGAGGCGATCTCATCGGTGGAGGTGACGGAGATCTCATCGGTGGAGGCGAAGGAGATCTCCTAAGTGGAAGTTCAGAATGGCGCTCCTACACAGAGAAGACAATTAATATTAATAATCCACACATGAATTTATAAGTCAAAATAAATAATGAACTTAAATAAACGTACTATATTTCTATCCGGAACGGACTCAAATACTGGATCGTCTTCAGTAGGGGGAACAAGTAATTCACGTACATATATTGCATCCTCCTCTTCCACCGAGACAACCAACTCAGCATGAACTTCGAGCTGACATACCATATTTCAACGTGTTAACGA